GAGCGCGCAGCGGAAATGAACCACATTTTTGTGGTTTCCACATGAGCCCGCAACATGCAGCAACCCGCTTTAAGAGACCCCCTCGTGAGCAGGACACTCCCAGAACTTCCCCAATGAGGTGTACCCTGTTGGTGAAACTCAAGTCCGTTAAGTAACTGACACTTCAGCCCAATATTTTAACTATAAAATCAGGCTGTGATTGATTGCTTCGGCCAGCTTTTCACAAAACTTTTTTCCTGTGGCCTAGAGGGAATTGATGAGTTTCAAGTCTTGTCAAAGCGGCACAACAAGTGCTAACAAGTAAAAAAGAACCATCAATAATATCAGAAAAAAAATGCAAAAAGCATGGCACCAAAAGTCTTCAGAAAGATTATTTTCACTTTTTCAGTAGAGAAAACAATTGATTTATGCTCGCACAGTGAGCGAAACAAAAGAAGCATAAGGCCTTCCAGATAAAAACTCACCAGGAGCGAGAAAGTGCAACGACGGTTCTTTTGACGACGAAGTCATAGCACTCACTGGTTCTGATACACTATTCACGTGATCTTGGATGACGGCTCGAGCACCTCTGCAATTGAAAATAAAACATTAACCTCACCTAAAGCACATCGTTGTTGGGGAATCCCCAATAGGGGGGTCGTATTTGGCCGCCAGGAGAGGGGGGGGGTCGTATTTGGGCTGGAAAAATTTATTTTGATAGTTGATTTTTCTCGCTTCATGGACGTTGTAAAAAAAAAGGGGGGGGGGTACTTGATCATTTTTGGGAGGAGGGTCGTATTCACTTTTGAGTGGGGGTCGTATTTAGCGCTTTTGGCAACATCGTAAAGTGATGGTTGCTTTGGCTGATTGTTTCAGTGCGTGCCCTCCTTAACCAGGCCCCCCAGTCCCCCCCCCGCTTCGCACGGCATCGACCTACGATGAGGAAGGACACGAAGAGGCTGGGGCAGGTGGAGGGGCTCGCTCCCAAACATCCCAAAAAAAAGGGGGGGGGTCGTACAGAGTCGACTAAAATCCCCTGACCAATGATGTGCCCTGACCTCACCTAAAGAATCACACTCATTCGAACAATTAGACCATAATAGGAAGAGATAAACTGACAAATGGTACTCAAGAAGAGGTACAGGTAGGCTCCATTTCAGTACATGAGCAAAAGCTTTTCAGAACCTGCTGACAAATTAACTAAAAAGCCCTAAAGATTAGCACAGGTATATTCCGTTAGGCTAAAAAAATAGTAGGCGGCCCGCTCACTAGAAATTGTCGAGAAAAGAAACTGCTGAAGCACTGGTAGTGTTCTCATGGGCAAAATGCCAGGAAAGCGAAAAATATAGATATCTGATGGCGCCTGTTCAATATACACTACTCTGCCTCTTGAATAGCTCATGAGAGGGTAGATTTTCGGCTAAGCTGGACTCTGTCAGAGGGGCTGTTCTTTATGGACTCGAACGGTCAATTAAACCAATAAAGAGGGAAACATGATACATATATCCGATACATATCCGATTCCGACTGAGAGTACACTGGAAGTAAGAACTTTTGCGTAGCAATAATCCAAGTTTTCCTGTACAGTAAGACGCCTGAACGCACGCCTACAAACGCACTGCAAGAAGGATGACGCTAGGAGTGCTACGCTAGGTGCTACGAATCTCCGATACATGGTAGAGCAGGAAAAAGGGATAGTCGGAGATCGGTCGCCGCCAACGTTCAAAAATCATAGAAACTCCTACATCTAGCAACAGAGCACGCCTTGCCAAGCGGGAAAAATTTCTTAAATAAAACACCCCTGAAATTTCCTCCTCGTATGACCTTCTTCCCCGGAACCTCCTCTCATTCACACCCATTAACACCCACAAACACGTTCCTAAATTTTCCCAACTTCCTACCACTGTTCCAAAAATCCTTTTGAAAACTCAAAAATCTATCTTCCGCCTTGCTGAGGATTCTACGACGTGCCCTATATATTTAGGAATCAAAAATCACGTGGACTGGAAAGGTAGAGCGATTCTATGGCGACCGTTAGACCAGAGCGAATTACTCTCGCTAGACTTCAAGCCGAATGCTCCCAAAAGCAACGTCACGGATCCGATGCTGGACTTTCTCAGAGCTCTGCCGGCACTTGGACACGCAAGCAAAAAACAATCACAGACTAAGTGGCTCGCAGTGGCAATCTGACACATGTACAGTAGTCCTTTTAAGCACATCCATGATCAGAAGGAAGTCAGGTGATCGTTTTTGGGGATGCGAGAGGTCTGACCTAGACGAGGGCCGATACGGGATTTCAGCCCTGGACTTGCGCGCGTGGTAAGCGAGGCACTTCGCCACTACACCACCTCCCTTTCATGTATGTGATATTGACAAAAGAAAAAAAGAGAAGAGATTAAAATAAAGAAGAAGCGAAGAAAATAACAGAAAATTATGAGAAAACGAATGAAGCGCTCAATATGTACTGACCGATTTTGCTTTCTCCTTAGCGCGAGGTACGTTTCTGGGTACCCGTTACCCTTTGAGGCCATCTGCATTAGTGGCGCTTCGTCTGCGTCGATAACTCTTCCATCAGATGGAAGATTGCGAAGATCATTGAAACTATGACTGGTTTGTTCCGAGACCGGCATCTAAAAAGATTGAACACAGTTTACTGGCAACACATTTTTGACTCACAAAAATGGACGGGACTTGAAAAGCTTTCACCTTTGTCTCGGCCCGTCGTCTTTGTTGATATTTCCTACATTTTCCAACAAGTTGGTACATTTGAAAGATCAAGAAGGATATATCTACGGGACAGGACGCTGACTACGCGGCTTTCAGGGCAGAATAAAGCGGCTGCATCGTGAAATGAAGTGAATACGATCGCCATTTCCTCAGTATAATGGCTAGTGCGTGTACTTTTTAGTGACGGTCGACATCGCGCATCAAAGCAGCGGAACTCGTCCATCGCTCACAAAAAGCAACTAGCGAAACAATGATGGGAAACTGATAACGACCGTGCAAGATCATCGTTGGCAATGAAAAAACATAGATGACGGATGTATCGCTGAGACAATGACAATATGATGACGACGACAAAGCACCCACTGGCACATACCTCAACTAACACGTAGTCATTTCCATTAATCGGATCGATACCGTACTTTTCCAACGCTTCGGCAAGAATTTTCTCAGCACGGTCATACATCGAAACCAGTATCGTCACATATGGTCGTGACGGCACTAACTCACCACCGTAGATCTTCAAACTTCCACCTAAATTCGCCACAAATAAGATATTCCTGGAAACTTTGGGCGATATCAACGTAAAACATGCAGGAAAAAAACCCAAACGAATCCTATGAAGTACTGAACTAGTTATACACAACAGCTTTCACCTACCATTGGACAAAACTCATCCTCATACCCTTGAAAATCGAAAAAAAGCATTTTAGGAGTACTTGAAATTTACTATCAATAATACAGTAAATATGAGCTCACCATGACCCATCTCCTTCAATCTCGTTTCCAGCTTCCTTTCCCTTCTTTTCTTCATTACTACTTCTGGATTCGATATAGTACGAGTAAATGAATTAGGCGGAACCTAGAGAATTATAAGATGAAAAACAATTTAGGAAATGGGACGGAACGAAAGCCCAAATTCAATTCTTTACTACTATCGATGAAATTGTAAAATGGGAACTGCAAAGGGTGGCACAGTGAGTCTTGGAAAACAAGTGAGTCTTGGAAAACAAACAGCAGCTTAATAAAGTTGTTTAGACAGGAAAAAAACGAATAAATAAGATACCGTGAAGAGCTTCACAGCTAAAGTAAACTAGTAAACTCTACACTAGTGACTCCTCATCACAGCCCATATTTTTCCAGGCATAGCCGGTTAGAAGGTAAGATTGAGCTCGTAGCCCTTGAATAGATGCCTGATGACTATCATCACGGAGACTAGGGTGAAGGGGGGGGGGGATGAACCGCAACTTATGCTGTTAAGTTAATAGCGCTCCTCGGGCTGTCTCAACATTGGGTAATCGAATGACAGAGGTGGTATAGTGGCAAGTGGCGCAGCTTAAAACGTGTTCCAGACCAGCTCCAGCCCGGGCCAACCTAGCCTGCCTCCCATTCCTCCGCGGCCACAGCTTCTGGGAGAATAAATACAGCATCCTACATCTAGCCCCCGCAAGTCACTGTAAGGGCCAAATCGCATTGAAAGTGCCGCTACGATTCTGAGTGAAACTATTATAGAAAGCATGGCGCATTCCGGAAATGTACTGTCTAACGCTCAAATATTGTTGACAATCTAGCGGCAGAGTCGGAAGTCGTGGAATGAGCCTGCCGGCGGCCGCATCTTTTCAACAGTAGTGGTCGGTTCGAGCAAAAAACAACCAATGGGAGAAAACGCCGCAGATGAGCTCTTTTCACACCTCCTGACACCACTCTGTCGGATTGCACGATATAAACTGAACTTTTCAACCCAACAACGACTCTGTTTCATGGAACCACGCTGCTTCAGAAATCCTTTCTCAAGAACTTTTAGAATTTCAACGCGATTGTTTAGCAGTATTTTGAATAAAACCTCAAGCTAAGAGATGCTCGTACACATACGTAAAGAGCGGGAAAAGCAATACGAAAAGAACTCGACAAAAGAGAAGCCTACTTTCGCAATGCAACAAATATCTTTGAAAGTTTACCACACATCCCAGTTGAACGTCAACAGCATGGTGAACTAGCAACTCTTTTGTTACCATCTCACGGGGGTTGACACTTCTTGAGCTTTTTCCTGAGACTTGCTGCTCCCAAGTGGGTTTCGTTTCCTTTTTCTTTGACGGATTACATGACTAATTTTCAAAGTACAAATCAGATGTTTTTTAATATCTCGAAGAAATGCATAGGAATTCACTAGGGAACAGCACTTGGATGGATCATATACGAAAAAAGAGGAAAAGGCATGCCAATCCTTCAGCGAATTCCCTGCTGGTTCTCAATCGCGCTATCCGCTTTTTTACAAAAAAAAGGGCGCTTCTCAACCTCTGCTGTTCCAGTCTTGCGAAATAAAAAAGCGAATCAAGCCAGATCAAGTACAAAGTTCCCGGAAAGTTGCACTAGAAATTATCTCTGAGAGTGATTCCACCTTGTCACACGAATATCGCATTATCTTACAGCGAAAGCTCTTCGTTCCTGCGCCACAGACGCCGGCATCAACAACTCGAAATACCAAATAGCCAAAAAAATTGTTACAAGGGGCAGTTTGACCCCATAAGAACGAATATCCCGCTCGCTTATCGTTAAAACCAGGCGTCGGCGAGAAAATTGATCTACAGCGCTCATGTCTGTGGCGCGCGGCAGGCGTCTTCGCTCCAAGCAAATGTGATAATCATGTTTGAAGGGTCAGATTACCCTCGGACAAACGTCCAGCCAAAACCATATTGGGGAAAATTTCCGAGCAAAATGTGGTTCAGATCGAGCTGTGCGGCAGCATGGAGTTGAGTTGAGGTATGAGGCAGTAACGGGCCAGTAGTGCCAAAAAAATAGGTTACATCAGTGAAGAATAAGGAGTAGGTTTGAGACTTCGAGCATTACTAAAAGGAACGACTGATATTCGCCATCCGTGAGGAGATTGAAACGACACGGAAATCCTATAGAACGCACACTAGCACCACAGAGCTAGGGAGGAGAAGTGAAAATCTAGAAAGAAAAAATCCTTAAGGGATGGTCAGGATGATGATGGCTAGGAAGGATAAGATGAATGGGATTCTCAGAAAGAAGGACCATAGTAAAATAGTCAAAGAGATGCTTGTGAGATCTGCGAAGCCTGCTGTTGTGCGCAGAAATTTGACAAACCTGCACATCATTACAGAAAGATTCGGAATAGTATATAGGTAAAAAAAACAGAAAAGAAAAATAAAAAACTAATTAGGACTTGAAATCAAGGCAGAAAAATAGGTGGAATGTGGATGTAGAGCTGTGCTTTCTCTCGAAGATAAAAATTGCTAGGTAGTAATGATAATTCAAAAGCTACATAACTCCCAACCTGACAATAAAGGTCAGTGCAGACCGGTGCCAATGCCTCTTCTCGGCCAGTATTTACAGTGACTAAAAACGAAAGAACTTGATAACAATGACCAATAAAAATCGAACTGCAAACGCTCACTTATGTCCTTCTGATGTTTTTTCTTCATTTCTTTCTTTTCTCGCTTCGAAAATCGTTTCGTACCACGCTTCATATTCTCCTCTTCTGGTAGCTGTATTGTCTAAATATTCCATGGTTAAATAGAAGTCGCGAAGTCAAAACAATGACATGAAATATCAAACTAACTGCTAATGGAGCCATTCCTTGACGATTTTTCCGCAACAGAAATCGCCCCTCACGATCATCACGATGCCAGGTGAGCTGCACCAACAGCGGTTTCTCTTCGTCGTCTAGTTTTCGCTCTCCACCACTTTCGTGAACCTATATCAATTGGAGTTCTAATTCTCGCTTGGGAGCTCGCATTATACTACTCTTTGTCCAGAGATTTGCTCTCCCAAGAAAGGTAGAGAGCAAATTGTGCGAAAAAGTAAGCAAAAGTACAAGAAAAAGCACACTTGAGGTGCTAATAAACTCCAGTCAATGAAAGCAAGATGATTTCCAAAACGTTTTTTTTTTGTGGAAAACGGTAATTTAGAAATAGTGTCATCACAGCAGCTTTGATAATTGCTGTTTAACCCCGCAACACAAGGTTTTCGAAAGTATGCTGGGTTTCAAGCAAAAGACATGACTTTCATGCTTTCCTCGAGCTAACGATAAGCTGGGAGGGCGAAACGTTATCCTGGTAATGCACTGCTAAGCTCACTTGCCCGGTAAGAAGAGGTCTTCGAGTCCTTATCAGGGCCAAAGTCTTGAAAAATTCCATCTTTGCTTATCCTACCCACTATCTTCCCCAATCCTGATCACTCCATAATGGTTTTCAAAAATTCGTACCAAGTTGGCACCAGACAAATACCAGAATCAATTACAAGAAATGTAGCTGTACAGTAGTTCCGCAATGCCACTCGGAAGACTGGGGTCGGGCTCAATTAACTAAATTTATATGGAAAATAAGTGCTGACGGCCTGGATTTTGCGCATTCTCCTTCTCTTGAAGGATCACAAGCGCGCGCTCCATAGGAAACATATCTTTACATGGACGAGTGAACTTTAAGCATCGAAATACCCTCCTACAAGATTTTCACGGATAGGAAGAAGATCATTGGGAATTTGTAGATTCAAGCGTTCTGAATGGAAATGTATGGTACAGAATTATCCCAGTCAGCTTGCTCCAGTTTTTACAGTTAGAAGACCTCACATCGAAGGAACTCATAAGTTTTCAAGATCCGCAAGAAAAAAATAAACAAGGCTAACGAAAAACAAAATTAAGCTTTCACGCTTTGACAGCGACTACAAAATAAACTAAAATATGAAACACTAATCGAAAAAAGACAAGTAACAAACGATTCTTACCTCCCACAGACTATAGGTGTCATCCGAAAGCATTTTTAAATCCGGCAGAAACTTGTCGGTCAACGCTTCAACGACGGCAGTGTTGTTCCCCAATATAGAATACTACGACACATTTCCGTCGCCCCTCTCTCTCACCATCCTGACAAAACTGAGATTCTCTGTTTTTAGAACGATAACACTTTATTTCCCCTTGGCGCATATTGCCGTACTAACAGGCTGTTCAAGCATCTGAGTCTGAGGAAAATATATAAGAGGGTAAAACTTCCCAGTAGCAGAGTTTTCGAAATTCTACCACCACTACCATACTCAATAGTACAACTCTCGTCGAGCAAAAAAAACGACTTCGAAGGAAACAGCAGAAATTTCATAAACTAGAATTCTATCGAATAAGTCTAACAAAATAAACCTCAGAGATTCAAAAAACCGCGATTTCTTGTAAAATAACAGAGAATTATATGTGACAGAGGAGGTGGTGTACTGGCAAGTGGCACGCTTACTGTGCCACAGAGCGTGAGTCAAACCCGGATCAGCTCCCGTCCGGGGACGGTACACTGCTACAAATTTGTCTGGCAGGGTAAGAACACCTGCTTGTAAACCACTGCAATTCATTTTATGAGCCAAGTCGCATTTCGTATTTCGATTGGCCTCTCAGGGAAGGAGCTCTTAGGAAGTTTGACTTGTTTCTTTTGGCAGGGAGAGACTTCACACCCCTTTATTCTCAGCTTTTCACAAGAAGTCCTTTGCATCTTGCCTTATCTGACGTCCGCCCGTGATCCTCATGTAATCCCCTCATTCACGTCCCATCCCCCTTGTCTGCCTCGCTGATCCGTGGTCCACCAAATCTGACCCCCCCCCCTCTTGCGCCATACACCACACTTGAAGCATATGACTTGGGAGGGCCAGCCGATGTACAAGCCAGGGCCAATGCGATTTGTGTGAGAATACAAAAGACTTCAGCTGATGGAAAGACTAGTGGGTGCTTTCATAGGCTCCCGAATAGGCTGTAACTAACCCTCAACTTGGCAGACCTAGGCTTGAAAGGCAGATCATAGGAAGAATTGTTATGCTGGTGTTCCATGGTAAAAAGGCTAATGACCAGCCGTCATAGAACTCAGATGCTATCGCTTGACTGGGTCTCAAACCAAAGCGCTAGGAGATTATCCGGCTGACCGCTTTTCCCGACGATGGGAACGCACCATCGTTGCCCGCTAACTGACGGTACCGAAATAGGGTCAATAAATCGCCGAGAAGAGATCGCGCACTGAAATCGCCAACTTTTTCATCTTCATCGGATTACACTCAAGAAATGGCTTGTCCCAACCGAACGATCATTTGCGAGGACAACGCTCTTCTACCATTCAGGCTGTGGACCAGCCATTTCACAGGCC